TTTGGGATTTGGGATTTGGGATTTTGGCATTTGGGATTTTGGCATTTGGATTTTGAATTTGGGTGGCAGGTATAGTAAAGACTACCGTTAATTAATTTATGACCAAGTAAAGAAATAATTTATTCAGTAAGAAAGTGGAAAAGTTTATTGTGATTTCAAAGTGAGGTTTTCAACGAATTGGATTTGTTTAAGGAATTAAGAATTTCTGAAAATTAAATATTTACATTTGACATCTAATCAAAAATAATCAAGTCATATTAAATGGGATTTAAGATTTTTTTATATATCTGATATGGTATAAAACTATTAATATCATTAATTAATTTCGATGTTTCAAACATTTACGGAAAACATTAATAAAGGACTAGTAAGGAACATATTAAAATAATGAATTTATAAAGTTCATTAAACTATTGAAACATTATTAATATTATTCAGAATTAGGGTAACTATCTTGACATTCATCTGGTATGAATTTCATGGTTTTTTTTTTTTTAATAAAGATCTTTTTGTTCCTTGTTCTTTGTAGATTTGTAATATATCTCGTCATCTTTATTTTTTTTTTTTGATTTTTTTTCAGGATATTCTGAATTCGAATTTCATGACTTTTTTGATTTTATTGATTTTTTGTTTTTAAGCTATAAAAATTTTATACGTGTTCACCAAAGTACAGTGGGTATCAAAAGCCACCAAATTTTTTTATACTATAATTTTATTGAGAATTACCGTACATATACACAGTGTTTGAAATTCAATGTGCGGAATGTGCGCTTGCACATAATTTAAAAACTCCGCACATAAAAAAAAAGGTATCCGCACAAATTTTTGCATATAAAATTCTAAATTGTTTATACGTAATATTATTTTTTTAAGATAGTTTTTATTTCTTTTCTTTTCATCTCTTTTTTTTTAGTTTTTTTTTTCTTTTCATCTTTTTTTTTTTTTAGGATAATTTTTATTTCTTTTCTTTTTATCTTTTTTTTTTTTTAGTTTTATTTCTTCTCTTTTTATTTCTTTTCTTTTCATCTCTTTTTTTCTTAGTTTTTTTTTAGAATAGTTTTTCTCTTTTTGGGTCACAAAGTAGCTAACAGGTACCCAATTAAAAATTTAGAGATACCCCAGGTATAGACTCACATATCTGTATTTTAATATATACATGTATACCTTTAAAGATTCAAATTAACCCATTATTATCATATGCGTATTTTCTTTTTTTTTGACCAACTTGATTAAAATTTCAATAGAAAATTCCTGGTAATAACTATCTATTTTTCTATTTATAGTATTTAAAAGTTTATCTTTCATTTGAGTTATTCTAAATTCTAATTTATCAAAATCAATTTCCATCAGATATCCTTTTTGAATGCCATCAGGAACGATTGTTATTTCTGCGTGATGAATTTCACAAAATCTTTTACAATCTTCATTGGAAGGTTTACCTATAAATAAACAAAACATATACATAAGTCTTTGTTTAAATTTATATTAATTAATTTATTTACTTTTTTGATTATTAATTTTTCATAATAAAATTTTGATTTTTTCGGGTAAAGGATTTGGCAATTCTTCTGTATAGAAAGGGTATTCTTCTAAATATATATTATATGATTAGAATTTAAATAAACTGTTAATTTGATTTTAAAATAATTATATATTTCTTAAAATAAAAATCTTACTTTTATTGGATTCAAAATCAAGAGAATTTTGAGATACATAATTTGTTAAATTTAATGGTCTATTTTCTTTATCAATATTATTAGCTCTATTATTTTCTATATTTTTCAAACTCTCTACATTATTATTAATTTCATTAGTTTGAACTGTATTTTGAGATTTGGCATTAGTGCACGCTTTTTTGTTTCGGAGGATTTAGCAGATTTCAGTTTGTCTCGAATTCTTTTATTTGAAATTCTTCCTGAAATAATTATTAGAAATAAAATTATTAATATTATTATTTATAAATTTAGAAATTTTTAAATTTTTACCTTTTGATTTTACAACAGATGGTTTTTTATTTGTTCTTTATTTTGAGACCAAGTTTCTTTCTGTTATATGAGATTTGATTTCTTCTTCAAGTAAATTATCTAATGAGATATAAAAAATTTTTGCTGTTTCAGGTTTTGCTTTAACAACTTGTTGAACTTTTTGCCATGTACACTTTAAAGATATTCATAATCATTATTATTATTTTCTATAATAATAGTTAAAATAATTGAATTTGAAATTGCATAAGTGAAAAATGTTTTGTATAATTTTACTAGATTAAGTTCACTAGGATCTTTATGTCATCTTAAAAGAAATAGATATTCAGAAAGCTCTTTTAAACTAAGTTAGGAAGCAATCTTAAAAATATGTTTACAAATGATATCACTAAAAGTAAAATTGGAACATGAACACGAGATTTGATTATCCAATGAATTATATTTTACAATTTGCCCATTAGATTGACTTTCAAAATGTTTCATACAAAAGGTATTATTTCTAAAAATATTATAAATTATATTAATTAATAATTAACTTTGATTATATTTTTTTTTAAAAAAAAAAAATACTTAATAATTTCTTTACATTTATATATCATAGAATCAAATAATTATTGTTGGTTTTTTTTAAATGAATATTGTGTTTGCAATTCATTTGCTTGTTTTCATATGGACTAGATGTTATTAATTTAATACTTGAATTTTCTTCTTTATATTTAATAAAATTTTCATCATCTTTTCTTTGTTCTAATACATTTTCAAATGCTTTTAAAAAATTTAAAAGTGATGTATTAGTATCCATATAACCTTTTATTAGATTATTCATAGATTCATCTTTTTGTGTTGTAGTCATATCTGCCATAAACAAATGTCGATTATAGCATGGTGCCCAATGTTTTAAATGGTTATTCATTTTTGATAAATATTTAACTGTCACGGGATAATCACTTTTTAATTGTTTCCATTTAATTAAAAAATCTTGTTCATGTATTCATTTAAACATTTATAAAAAGATCTGATAAATTCTTTCCATTTAAATCCTAAAATTCGATTTAAATTTTTTGTTTCATTTTTTAATAGATGTCATAAACATAATGTATGCTTGGTTCCAAGTGGTTCAAAAGTGATTTCTATTGCTCGTATCATTGCATGATTCTCATCTGTAAGAAATACTTTTGGTGTAAAATTATTCATCAATTTTAAAAAATATTAAATGTTCAATTAAAACTTTCTATATTTTCATCACACATAAGAGTGCTAGCAAAACAAATGTTTTGTCCATAATTGTTAACACCAGTAAATATACCAAAATGCATATTGAATCTATTGGTCTTATAGATATTGTCAAAAACTACAACATCATTAAATCTACAATAATTCATTCGTTGTTCAGAAAATAACAATATTGCATATTGCAATTCAAATTAACTTTTATTTCATATTGAAATTCATTATTTTCTAATTTGATATTTCTGCATCTAGTTTCCATTTTTCAATAGTTCCTTCTTGTTAATAAATGAAATTATATAAATCAATGTTATACTACTTGAAAATTCTTCCTTTAATATAGCACAAATTGTTTGATATTATATCCTACCTGACATAGTAACATAATTTTATACTCACTTCAGAAGGAATTTCTCTTTCACTACTGCAAATCATTGTAACTCAGGTGAAATCATTGAATGATTGTGTTCAAAGTGCATATTAATAATGTACCATAATTTATTTTCTGAATTAAGAAAAACTCGCACATAAAATTTGCAACTGCAACATTGTGAAAAATGATTTCTGATATTAGAACTGGATTCAGGTTTACCTTCTCTATTACAAAGTAAAGTTCTTTTATGAATTTTTCCATTTGCATTTTTTTTCAAATTTTTCTGAGCGGATTTGAAAACCTTGCTGTTTTGCATAGTCTTTTACAACTGTAATAAATGTCTCACAAGTAATATAAAAATCACCTTCTTTGAAAATTATATTATTTTTTGTAGAAGATTGTAAGTGACCAGAAGTACAAGAAGTGCAAGAACTACAATCAGAATATTCTGAGTCAAAAATTTCTTGATTTCCTGTTCCATAATAGACTTTATTCAAAGAAAATATTATTTACAAACGCGATTGCAATAATATTTATTTATTATAATCACATAAGAAATATCTATCATTGATGATAAAGGGGACATAGGATAAAAGTCTATACCCCTGGAACAGGTCAAGATTTTATATCATAATTTTAGTTTATGTCATGTGTCAAGAGTTTTAATTTAAATTGGATCACAATATCTGGAATAGGTTAAAACTCAAAAATCTATAAAAATTTCTTTTGAAATCTCAAAGTGAATTTTTCACTAATAAAATTGAATGTAAGAAACAAGGAATCGAAGAATTATAAAAGAGAAATTGAAAAAGAGAAAATTAAAGAAAAAATAAAAAAAAATGATCAGTCAAACTTTATTATACAATTAAAAATAATAATTTTAAACATGAGAGGAAAAACTTTGTTTTTTACTAATGTAATTGAACGTAGAAAACAAGGAAAGGAAAAATTACAAAAGAGAAATTGCATAAAAGGAAAATTAAAGAAAAATAAAGAAAAATAGGTGGTTAGGCTTTTTACAAAATTATTTTAAGAACAATAATTTTTAATGAGAAGAAATACTTCATTTAATATGAATTTTTGCAACAGAGTTATTAAAATTCTAACTTTTACTCATTATTATTTACTAGAAGAACCTAAATGTTATCTAATGGAACACCTAGTGAATTAGAAAAGAATTATCTGGAGAACACAGGATTATTTCAAGAATTATCTACAGAATTTACTAGTGATTATTGTTCAATATTTTTTGATCTGATGAAGGTATGAATTATTTTACAAGTTGATAATATTATTACCATTTTTTTTATTTTTTATTTTATTTTTTATCAAATTATTCACTAATTATTATCTGAATTAAATTAGATGATTTGATTATTAGAAAGAGATTTTTTTGCTCAATTTTTTGGGTAAGCATTGCATTTAACCAGTATATTTATCAGTTGAATCTAATTTGTCTCATGAAGGATCTTCTTCTTCATCAGAAGATAAAGAATCTCATTGTATGAAATGTTAACTTTATTACTGGCATGTACTTTTTGAGTCAAGAAGATATTAAAGATTTTGAATATCTAGTGAATCGATTATAAAAAATATGGAAATGTGAAATTATTAATTGACACAGAACAAACTTATTTTTAGCTGGCAATTGATTTTATATCTATGAAATTAGCTTCAAAAAATAACATATAGAATCTCAAGATAGTGAAGAAGAAAAATAGGAAGAAAGAGATGAAGGTGATGGAGGAGAGAGAAGGAAGAAGATATGCAATTGTATTAAAACACATATCAAATGTATCAAAGATTCATTCTCAAGATTGAGAAGCTTACATGGTGGAAGAAAGATTAATGACCCAAAAATACGGACATCTTGGTCACATACATGATACTCATAAATCTTATAATGGAGCAGTAGAATTTTTATTAAATGAATTATATAAGAATACTGATATATTGTCATTTTTTATTATCAAAAATCAGTCATTTTGGCATGTAATAAAACAAACAATTTAAATTCAGGAGTTGTGAATTTCAGTTAATTATATGGTAATTATCTATATTATTTGATCAGATTAATTTAATATTTTTTATTATTATTAGGAATGTGTGACCCTGTATATAAATGTATTATAGCGTTTGGAAAGGTATATGTGGGTTGTGTGTAATTATGGAATAAAATTTAATAATTCTTATTTTAATTATTTTAATGAATTGATTTAATCTATTTAAAGATTTATGAAATAATTTCATTTTTAATAAGAAAATTCTTCAGTCTTTGATGGTTGGTTAATGATGAAAGGAAATTATTATAGAATGAATTAATTAATAGATTTACTTATGGATTTACTAATTGGTGAATAATACCTTCTTATATTTATTATACATTAATAATTTGATACTAATCTTGGTTTCAATTAATAAAGTAAAATTGATTCACGTTTTAATGCGTGATGCCTTTAAACAAAATTATTTATTGATAATTAATTAATTAAATAAATTTATTATTTTTTCTAAAAAAGTTTAGTATTTTATGGGGAGGAAGTCCATTATAATGTACATTCTGTATATTTTACAAATATAATGTTTTTATTAATTCAACAAAATAAAAAATAAGTGAAGATCTTATTTTCCATTTTGTTATCCAATGGAATTAGATGTACCACTCGTGATGTCTGAGAACATTATATGTCACACAAGATTATCAGAAAAATAATAATTATAAAATGATCAATTAAAAAATAAGGCGGGGATTAGAAATAAAAAAAAAAAAAATAAACATTTAGAACGATTAATAAATAATTATAAACAGACCAGATTTTGATACGTATCTATTTATTTCGATAAACGTAAATAAATAATTTTGATCAACACACATAAAAGCATAAGAAGTATAAAAGGGATTAGTTATCTCCACTTCGCCCATTTTTCTCATTTTCTTTTTTTTAAAAACTTGAGTCCTCTCTTTAAAAAACAGATAATAATAATAAGTATTCTCTCCAAAAGTAAATATTTGTTATTACTATTTTTATTTAATACTTTTTAATTTAAAATACTAAAAATTTTCTTTTCTTGATTAAAAGAGGAGAGAATCCCAGAATGAAATGTAAAACGAGTGTGATGAAAGGATCTCTCCAAAAATGACTATTATTTTATATTTATTGTTCTTTTATATAAATACTAACCTTCTTTTTAGACCTAAATAAAAGGTGAGAGAATCCGAAAACGAAATGACACCCATTGTGCAAAGTAATAACTTCCAAAAAGGTAAACATTTATTATTATTATTATTATTATATTATTATTTATTAAAAAAAAGAAGAAACAGTAATAATAATATTCTTAAAAATAGGGAGTGAAGGGAAGGGAAGGGTTTGTAATTACTACTTTTTTCATAATTATTTTCTCCTTCAAAAGCAGAATATAATTATGAAAAAAGTAGCAAGTTTTAAAAAGGGTGTCGAGGACTCAACTAAGGAAGAAGGTGAGTGAGATTGTTGCATGGTAGGCAATTTTCCATCTTCGGTAAGTTTCATTGTTTTTTTAGTATTTTTATTTATTATTTTTCATTATTTTATTATTAATATTATTTTATTTATTATCTTTTTTTAGGGCGCGGTAATATCGTACTACTCACCATGGGACCACGGGGAGAGTTCACCTTCTCCAGATTATACTGGTAAATTTTATTAATTATTTATTAATAACTTATTAATCAATTTAAATAATTTAAATAAAATTTATTATTTTCTAAAAAGGTCAGCATTTTATAGGGAGGAAGTCCGGAGAATCCATTATAGTGTATGGCTATTCCTGCAAATCATAATGGTGAGTTTTTTCTATATTTCAAGTTTTATTATTATTATTATTATTATTATTGATATTAATATTAAATATTTTTAAAAATTTAGAATTCTCTGGAACCTGAATTTTGGACATGATGACGATGACGATGATAGCAGTGACGATGGTGATGGCGACGACAACGATAGTGATGACGATAGCAACGAGAATAGCAACGACGATGGTGATGACGATGGCGATGACGATGAATGGGAAGAAAAGGTATGAGTGAAGTGGTTTTGGTGATTATATGTTGGGATGGTAGAAAGATGTGATGAAAGGTTTATTTGGTTATTTTCTATGTTGGGATGTCAGAAAGATGATATTATGACAGGTTCATTTGGTTATCATTTACATAGGCAAAAAGATGTTATGATGGTTTATTTGGTTGTCATTTTTTTAAATAAATAATAAAAAAATAAAAATAATAAAAAAATAAAAATAATAAAAAAATAAAAATAATAAAAAAATAAAAATAATAA